GCAACTTTCAAGCGCTGGGAGCATAAATCGTGAAGAAGTCTCAGGCGGAATGCCCAGCCCGCCCTACCGACACGCCAGAGGGTGCGACAGGGGGCAGTTACTTCTAAGGAAAAGAGATGGATGAGAAAGGGGAGCAGAGGGGAAACATGAGGACGAGGAAGAAAGCCTCTTGGGGCACTCTTGGGGCCTCTTTGGAGCCTGAGGTTCCTGAGAGTCTTGGGTCCTCCTGGTGCCTCTTGGAGCTTCTTGGGCCGTCTTAGGCGGCTCTTCGCCAATCTGACAGCTTCGGAGGCCGTCTTGGGGGCCTCCCTGGGCCGTCTGGTTGCATTCTCGGAGCGATTTAGGGTCGTCTTGGGGCCCTCTTGAAAGCTTCTTCGTCCTCTTGTGGTCCTCTCGGGCCGACGTGGGGCCCTCTTGGAGGCCGAATGGGTTATCTTGGAGCTATATTGGAAGCCTCTTAGGCTGCCTTGGGCGATCGGAAACCCAAACAGGCGAGAACCTCGAACACAGTCAAAATTCACATGAAAATCAATGTTTTGCGCCTTTTCGGAAAGAGCCTCTTCGGGGGGCCTCTTGGGCCTTCTCAGATCATCTGAGGGGGTTCGTGCCCGTCTGATGCCGTCGGAGGCCATAGCGGGGGCCTCTCTGGGCCGTCTTAGTGCACTCCGGGAGCGCTGCAGGGCCATCATGGGGCCCTCTATTGGGCAATCGTGGGGACCTCTTCGGCCGCTTTCAAGCCCTCTTAGGAGCGATCGGAAACCCAAACAGGCACGCACGCAAGAAACTGCGCCTAAACGGTGCATCGGCAAGAAACAACGTGAAACAAATGCCAAGAGAGACGGCAAACACGAGACTGGAAGCGCGCCGGTACACAGACACTGTACACAGACTGTCGCTGGGCGGCTGATGAAAACGCAATCTCACGGAACACATGCAAGGGGCGAGGGAGAGGGGAAGGACGGAGTGGGGGGGAGAGGAGGAAGGAAGGGGGGAAGGGCAGGCTTCCTGATCACAGAGATACGCAGAATTTCGAGACTGTAGCGTCCCGTTCCGCAGCCGACGACTGTGGCAACAATTGTAAGTCGTCAAGGCTGTCGTGCGCTACGTTCAGGGGGCGTGCACACATATAACTTTCCCACCGAAGTCGGGGGCGCTCTCGTCTGCGGAGAACACTCCACTTCCTAGGTACAAGGCTGAGCAACTGTCCATCTTGAAAAAACCATCTTCCTCGGGAGCGTATTCGGAGTAGCCCGAGCGAGCTTGCCATAATCGGTAAGCTGCCGCTGCAACAACATGCTGGACAGGCGTTGCGCGCCAGCTGTAGGCACCGGAGCTTCTTGGGAGACTCTTGGGGCCTGATGAGCCGTTTTATGTTGTTCTTGACCCGTCGAGGCCGTCGTAGGCCTCTCTGGGTCGTCTTGGTGCCCCCTTGGAGCGCTTTAGGGTCGTCTTGGGGCCCTCTTGAAAGCCTCTTCGTCCCCTTGTGGTCCTCTTGGGCCGACTTCCTGCCCTGTTGGGGCCTCTCGGGCCGTCTGGGAACTGTATTAGAGGCCTCTTGGGCCGTCTTGGGTAATTGGAAGTCCAAACAGGCGAGAGAGCCTCTGAATCTGATTCAACAAAAGAGGGTAATCAATGCCGTTTGCCTCCTCGGGCTCTCCTGGAGGTCCTCTCGAGCCCTCCTGGGCCGTCTTCGAGATCTCTTGCGCCGTCCTGAAAGCCTCTTGAGCTGTATTGGGGTCATCTTGGTTGCCTTAAAAGCCGTCTTGGCAACCATGTTGGCCGCCTGCAGGCAGGTCCAAGAGTGCTCCAAGACATCTCAACAGCGCCCGAAGAGAGCCCAAGACCACCCAAGAGCCTTCCAAGATGGCCGAAGGTGGCTTCAAGACGGCCCAAGAGGACCCCAAGACAGCCCAAGAGGCCTTCAAGAGAACCCCCGAGAGGGCTTGGCGGGCTTCAGGAGGCCAAATACACGGATTGTCCTAAGGTGTTTGTTGGTTTGATGGTTCTCGCTTTTTCACGCTTGTGGCGGCCCAAGTGGGCCAAAGAGGCGCCAAAAGTCGCCCCGAGACGGCCCAAGAGGCCCCAAAGATGGCCCCAAGATTGCCCACGAGAGCCCCAACACGGCCCAAGAGGCTCGCAAGAGAGCCCCAAGAGAGCCCCGAGAGGGCTCCAAGAAGGGCCCAAGAGGGCCACATGACGGCCAAAGCCCCGCAAGACAGCCCAAAAAAGTCCCAGTACGGCCCAAGAGGGCTTCAATACGACACAAAAGGCCCCCAAAAGGACCCTGGAGAAGGCCCCGAGAGGTCTAATGCCTCGATGTCCGATGTTTTTTGGTGGGAGGAGTCATTAAAAACCGTATCCATGACCATTTCTGATGGGGGAAGTCTTTGAAAGCCACGCGCAGACGGCCCAGTGAGAGACAGCGTTGACGCCACGGCCCCCAGGAGCTCCAAGTGCGGAAATCACATGTTTAGGATGGCCAGTGCCGTAAAAAGTTTTGAACGCTAAGTCTCCCAAGAGCGAACGATCACACGAAAAAATATCTTCACACCAAGGTTTCCAAGAGCGAACGGTGACGTGAAATGGCTCTTGACGCCAAGGCTCCTGAGAGCGAGTGGGGCCATGAGCCCTTTCGGGCAAGTTCCTGAAGCTCACTTTCCGTTCCCGTGTTGGCCCAGGTTATGATTTGCGCATTCCGTGCAGGCGTGGTGGCGGATGATTCCCCAGACAGGACTTGCACAGTTGGATTCGTGCAGGTCTGTACGATAGACGGTTGGGCGCCTCGTAGGCGGGAGGCTGTTCCGAGGGACCGAGGAGGAGGAGGAGGGAGTTGGATGAAGAGGAGGAGTTGGACGACGGCGCCCTCTGGTTTGCTCGGCAGATGGCTGGGCGCCTCGCAGGCGGGAGGCTCGCAGGACGAGGACGCAGGTTTCTTCGTGCTGGGCCCCGACGGGTGGGCACCTCGTGGGCGTCTGCTGCGCCGGTCTGCACGAGGTCGGCCGGCGAGCGCCCGCGGGCGCCCGGTGCGCGCCGCGGGCGCCCCGCGCTCTGGTGTCACGGGGGAACGTTCGGAGAGGCCGTGGCCAAGAGGGGCAGGTTGGTAACCCTGGCATCGCTCGGACGTGTGCATTCTTTCCGCGGCGAGAACCATCGAGGAGCATCCTTGATCATCTGGCGGAAAAAACCACGCACGAAACCGAAAGAAAACCAGGAAATGGACGTCCGAGCGATGGTCAGTTTAACGCGCGCGTGCGCACCGCCAGAATCAGTCCAACACCATTGGCTTTCGAATCAGGGTCGACGACGTGTCTCAGCAGGTCTTCTTCCAGTCAAAGCAGCAGGGTCGGTTCGCGCGCACTCGCGGGAACCGTGCGAAGAGCATGGACGATTCGCCAGTCTGTGAAATGAGAGCATGTGGGCCACATTCGTGCGCGTGCGCCAACAGTCATCGCGCACCCTCCATCTCTGCCTAATAGTACCATGTGGGCCACATGCGCGCATTCCCGCGTTCGCATGTCGAAAGCATTGCCAAGTCAAGGACATCCTAAGCATTTCAAGATAAAGGTGTTCAAAGACAAATGAGGGCAAAGAAATGAGCTCCACGAAAAGCTATGAAATAACATGTGTTCGCGCACGTCATCATCATCCTCATCATCAGCGTCGTCATTATCATCGCAATCGTCATCATTGATATTGTCATCATCATCATCGTCATCATCACCTTCGGCATGAGGGTGCAAATGTGAAATGTCTAGTTGCTGCTTTGGGGGGCCTGCGTTTGGGAGGAGGCCACAGCACAGCTCCACAATGTGTTGTAGATAAAACCTCGCAGGGTGGGCCCTTTCCCAAATCGGTGCTTCGGTCCGGATCGTTAGCGCGCCTCGTCTCCGTCGTTGACGTCGTCATGGTCGTGGTGCGTGTTGCTCTGCTCGGGACTTGTTTCTCTTCTGCAGTGGCCACCCACCATCGTCTTCATCACCATCTTCGACGTCGTCTTCATCACCACCACCGTCGTCATCCTCGTCGTTGTCGCCACCACTATCATCTGCATCTTCATCATCATCGTCGTCGACGTCGTCGTCGCCGACGCCCCGTCGTCACCATCATGACTCGCTCGCTCGAGTCATGGACCTGCACGTCGTTTCGCATGTCGGGATATGCGAGCAGGTTCCAATGGGTGACTACACTCACGACCCCGTGAGTTTGGCCAACAGGTTGCGGGCGGGTGGGTGACATGTTTGCTCGAGCACGGGAAGTGGTCGCGCGCGGATGCCCACGGTCAATTACACCCCATCGCTTGCATCACACAGCCTGCACCACATACGATGCATCGCATAGGTTGCACCGCGTACGTATTGCAACACAACCATGCGCATGTTGCACCACAAAGTTTGCACATCGAATGTGCAAGAGAACATTGTTTGGAGCCCACGTTGGCAAACATGAGTTTTTTGATGAGCAGAGTTGACTGATGCCCCGTCCTGTGAGCATCGTTGAGCGAGCAGCTTAACATTGAAACTTGTTCGGGAAGCCTAGCAGCGTCTGGAGATTCCATACAGTTCTTGCGGTACTCGAGGATCTTGCACTGCAGAGCACGGACACACGGATTCGGCAACGCGTTCAGGAGGCCATCAGTCCTCAAAGCGACGGGTTTTGTGGATAGAGGCCCCGCTAATGATGCCTGGGCGGCCCAGGCACTCTGTAGCGAAATCTCTTTCGCTGTTAATCCCAGTAACACGGTTAAAGCATCCAGAAAAAATCCAGGGACAATTCCATACAGTTTGCCCGCTCGCTGGCTCATGAATCTATTCTTGTCTGAGGCGGTGTTCAATCCCCCCGAGCACCAGCAACGTTCCCGGTTTGCTCATTGGCTTCGCACCCGAGGTCCACAATTATGTGGGGAGTTCTGCAGGAGTCAAGCGAATCGATTCATCATTTTTGTTAGGGTATCGTCGTGTTAGTCTCGGTTTGATGCGACAGTTGATTTGCCACCACTCCAGGTGACCGGTTTCTTGTCAAGCCTCGTATTTGCTGGCGTCGGTGGCTACCTCGCAGATTCCTACGGCCGGCGCTTGGCTTGCCAGGTGTATTGCGTGCTCACGGTGGTCGCGTGCCTCACCAGGCACTTCTCGTCGATCGGCATCTTGTTGTGCGGCCGAGTGTTCCAGGGCATGGCCACGTCCATCTTGAATTCTGCATTCGAGGCGTGGTTCGTGAGCGAGCTGCGAAGGGCGAGGAGCGACGCTGCAGAGATGAGCAACGCCCTTGCGCACATGCACCTGGGCGGCTCGGCTGCCGCGGTGCTGTCCACCGCCCTCGCGGCCAGCCTCTCCGCAGTGACTGGCAGAGGAGGCAGCCAGCCAAGCCATGCCCTGAATTCTGGCGGATATTGTGTACCGTTCGACTTAGCAGCGTTTCTAGCTCTCGCATCATTGGCTCTTATGGGAGTGCTTTGGAGGGAGAACTCGGGTGAGATCAGCAGAGAATTTGGCTTGTCCACCGCGTTCCGGCTAGTGGCCGAAGACCCGAAGGTGTTGCTATGTGGCGTAGTTGTCGCACTTTTTGAAGCCACCTTCTTCCTCCTCCATTTCTATTACGCGGGCGCGCTAAAGGAGGGGGCTGGAGAAAACGACATACGCGATTACTACAGTTACATGAACGACCCCGATGCTCACGACGGCTTCATATCTTGGGGCCTCGTATACCTGATTCTCGCCGTGTTCCTGATGGCGGGCATCGCCGTCTTCGGCATTCTGGCAGGCAGCCTGCGCGACACGAGGCTCGCACCAGAGGCGCTGCTATGCGGCGCACTTCTCGCGAGTGGTGTTGCGCTCGCAGTGTCCCTGCTCCCTTCCAGCAGGTCGGGTCTCCTCGCGAGCCTGGTCATCTTCCAGCTTTTCTCAGGCATCTACTGGCCTGCCATGGCCGCAGTCAAGGGCAGCGTGGTGGAGGAGGGCATCCGGGCGACCGCCTATTCTCTGTACCGGGTGCCACTGAATTTCCTCACGCTCGGCGTGATGCTCGTAAGCGTCAGCTGGAGGTTCCCCTGTGCGGGGAGGAGGAGGAGGAGGAGGAGAAGAAGGAGGAGAAGGAGGAGGGGGATGAGGAGGAGGAGGGGGAGGGGGAGGAGGAGGAGCGAGCGAGCGAGCGAACCTCGAGGAATCCACCAGTGTCCTGCCTTGACTGAGCAACTAAGCAATCGCCTCGTGCCATCATCGCGTGCAGCTGGATTCTGAGACGGGGCACTCCAACCCCAACGCGGAGGAAAAAAATAGTTTTGTGAACCCTGCCTGCGCTCCCCTTTGGGGCACAGGCCCGCGGGCAACCCCCCTAAGGCACGCAACCCTGCGGAAGGCGCCCACTCAGGCACGAGAGCCACGCCCACCACCACGACGTCCGCGCCCACCACGTCTGCCTGGCGCGCCGCGGCCGTAGCCTGGTAGAAACACCAGCGGATGGGCAGGAAGGGCATCGTCAGCATAGCTGCTCACCAGCACGGCTCCCGAGCGAGCCCTTGCCGCGGTCTCGGCACTGATGCTGCCTCTAGCCTCCAGCTCCGCTAGTCTTTGAGAGCTGCTAAAAAATTGCCCCCGTCTCCTATCCGTGCCTCCCACGCGAGGCGCTAGGGCGGGATGAGCTACTTCGCATTGTTCACCATCTTCGCAATCTCGCGCTCGAGCGGGCCCCTGGGAGCTGATCCATGCACTGCCGTCGCGCCCTCGTACTGGAGCACATTCATGATGTATGGACGGCACGCCAGTGCCAGCTTCGTGTCCTTGTTGAAGTTCGTGATGACCAGGCACTGCTGCTCCACGCCCTCCTCCTTGCGGAGCGGCTTCAGCCTGAAGTAGAGCACCGCTTCCGCGATGGTCTCCATCTCGCTCGAAACGATCGTGTTCTCCCACACCTGCTTGGCCTCGAGCGCGTTGGTCCTCTCTCCGTCTTGGCCCTCTGCCGCCGTGCGCTCCGCCACGTACTGGAAGGCCGCCAGGAACACGTGAATGTGCGGAGGGCCTCGCTTCTTGAAGTGCTCCTGCGAGGCGCCGGACTCCTTCATGGCCTTGCTGCCCTCCTCGTATTTCTTGCCTGCCGCCTGCATGGCCGCGGGGAGCCCCCGCGAGAGGGGCATCATGAAGGTCACGTAGACCACCGCCGCCAAGTCGGCCACCGCGCGAGCCTGTGCCAACACCAAGCGCCCAATGGCCGTCACCAACTTCATCAGGTCGTCCTTCTCGCCTTTCTTGCCCCGCTTGGCAGCGGCGCCCCCGACCGCGCCCGCCGCCGCGTTGCCGCCTGTCCCCGGTGTCGGAAGGCTGGACCACGACGGCATCTCCAGCGGCATCTGTTCCAAATGCTCGCGTAAGATGCGCCGCCGGCGCTTGCTGCAACGTCGACGGTAGATGGCTGAGGAGATGGCTACAGTGGGCTGGGAGATCCCCCGCTTCATGTCCACACAGCGGGCACTTCAGGGACTTGGGCTCTCTGAGGGTCTCATTGCTCCGCGGCGTGGCCCCCAAGGCTCCTTTGTCGCATCTCCCTCTCCGAATCGCCGCCTGCAAGTGACGCGCGGCCGTGATGCGAGTCTTGAAAACCTGTCGGCAACCGATGCAGATATTCGTCGGTGTCAGCACATGCGCAAGATTGTGGAGGTGGTGTTGTTGGGTTATATGTTTGAGGAGAGAGGTCTGGGTAGAGAAACAAGCCCCACATAGCTCCCCCTCGTCAGTCCGCACTTCGCATCGAAAAGGCCCTTCCTCGCCCATCCCATCCGTCGGCGCATGCAGCCCTCCAGCATCGGGCCCACTTGAAGCAGTGGTAAAGACGGGAGCGGCGCAGTCCACAACCTGACCTCTGCTCGAATTCCGTTCCGATGCACCCTCCTGTTCCCACGTCGGCGGCGGGATCTGCACAGTATTCAACGCTGCGCGCAACCTCCCAAAATCCAAGGCCGTGAATTCTGAAGACCGCTCCACATCAGCAAAAATAGTAAAGTCCTCCAAAATCTCATCCAGGCTGCAAGAATCCATGATCGGGGCCGCAGCCCACAAGTCCGCTTCCATCTGGCGAAGCCAAGGTGAAGCCGAAATCGACGGCCTCCCCCTCACAAGCTGCGGTACAGTCGACTCGTGTTCGCCCCTCAGTACCCCGAAGAGTGCACACAAAGGTTGTACATGCCCCGTCGGATTGCGTGCCCAAGACTGATACCACTTAAGCCTCCTAATACGAAGGTCAACACGACTGCCCGAGAATCGCCAGTAACGCAAGACCTCAGGAGTGGTCATACTCACCTTGTGTCCGGTCGACGTTTCGGCGCACGCGTCCCCTAGCATCGCCGTCCTGCAGAGGGCCGCCAAACAGCCGTCCAGCTTACTATAATCCGGCGACGTCAACACGAAAGGTTCAAGCCCACTTAAGAGAGCGTTGCCCACGAGGCCCTGCAGGAGCTCCCTCCGCCACTTATATGGCAGGCCCACCGACCACACCCCTCCCAAGCGAAAGAAAGCCTGCCGAGCCGCATCGCACCTCCGAGGGATCTCGTGGTGTCCTGTAGACAACATATTAATAAAGGGGCCCAGGTATCGTACACACTCTCGTACCTTGCCCCGACATGGCAGGGACCCCTGGGCGGACCGCTCTCTCAGGATCGTCTTCGCAGGCCTAGACTGACTCGCAAAGTAGAAAAGCAATTCTTGTTTATCAGCGTTTTGACCGTAGCCGTACATCCCCAAGAAGTCGTCTAGCGTCTCGTCGACCCAACTTAGTTTATGTAGGAAGTCTGAAACCGTGTTCCCAGGATCGGCCACCACAAACTTGTTTAGATCGTCCGCGTATTTGAGTAGACTTAGGTCAACTGATAGTTGTTGCCAGCTCGATATTAAAACCTTGGCCGAACGGTCGTGCGTAAAAACGTGGTGTCCCCATGCTGTTGTGGCCCGTCCGAAAGTTCCCAGGAAACCCTGCACGGTGAACGGGTCCCCCATCACACCTCCGCACCTAGGACGTACGCAGAACGGGCCGTCGCACGATTCCAACTCGATGATCGCATTCCTGTACCGTTGTCTGCACAAGTCGGCATCGTATGGGGAGGCACACAAAGATACTGTCGTATCCAGCTCCGTCCATAAGGAACTCGAGAAGGCATTGCTGAGGTCTTTTAGTGACATGCAATGGGTACGGCCCATCCGTCGTAGTCTCCAACTCGTCACTTGTGCTGTGAATATGGCGTCCTCCCTCCTCCCCTCTCTTACAAAACCATGGTCTTGGGCCGTCGGTGTCGCTTGTAATTTGGTCGCAAAGAAAGCCTTGCCCAGCGTCGGAAGGACGTGGATCACTCTCTTGCCCCGTGGCCCTCGCACATGTGATTTGTGCAGGCCTACCCCCCGTGACTTATTCCAGTAAAGCGGGATTTCTCGATGCTCACGGATTTTGTACAAGCCCAGCTCAATTAGGAACCAAAAAAATGGTGTCCTAGGCATCTGTCCCGTGTTACCCACCCCCCTGCGTTGTCGTACCTTGTAGTTTGGCCATCCAAGGTAAGTGGGTTGAGCCTTCCAATTCCCTGTTGACCTGTTCCAAAAAAACGTCACGGTTTTTCCCTTCACGCACCGCCTGCATCATAGCATCCTGGTTCCACCGTTCTCCCCTGCCAGTCTGCCGTGCCTCGTGGTAAGCCCCATGCTTGTCATAACGCAGCACACACACAATGGGCAAGTGGTCCTTGGGGGGGCAACCCCCCAGGGCTTGTAAACGGGCGCCCAGGCGATCGTGCGGGCGGCACACACATATCTGACTGCTAAACCCCTGCGGCACAAACACATAGTCGATACGAGAACTCCCCGTCATCCCGAAGAAAGTGGGCTCAGGGCCCGTGCCTCGGAAAGTATTCGCAGCACACAGAAATTGTGTCTCCAACAATTGGTAGATCCGTGCCCCTGCCCCCTGAGGTAGCCGTTCTCGACTGGGAGTCCCTACTACTGAAGTGTCCCGTGTAACCCACGCCTGACCGTCGTGCCATAACCCCATGCCGTCATTGAGGTCGCTATACACCACCGGCATACAACGCATAGGTAACTCCGAGAGCACATCCGACAACCACTTCGTGAGGATGTCGACCGTTTTGAAGTAGTGAGCCCGTTGAGCCCTCTTCTGGGGTTGGGGCGGGTAGTACACCACAAGCGCACACACATCGACATTGCTGTATTTAACCCGTACTCCCAAGGCCCTCCCGGGGGCCGTGGGCGGGGAAGGCCAAGTCTGCACAATACTATTCTGCTCCACCGCAGGTCCCAACCCAATCGCACATCCACACGAGCTGTTTGCGTGTTGGGCCGTCGACGTCGGCGCTTCCAATACCCACCTCCCCGCAGTCCTCGTCGTCATAACTGGATTCCCCGAGTGTGTACGCTGTCGTGTTCCCCCCAGCAATACCAAATCAAAATTCCTCGTCTCCTGCATAATATCCTCCATTCGGTTTCGCGCTGCATGAAGAGGATTAAAGGAGGAGGAGGAGGAGGAGGAGGAGGAGGAGGAAGAGGAGGAGGAGGAGGAGGAGGAGGAGGAGGAGGGGAAGCCGACCTAGGGGTGGGGCGGACCAAGAGTTGCTAGCAGGTGGGCTCCAGGCTGCACCTCGGGGCCCCACGGGATCCGCGGAGAGCCACAGGGGAAAGAGGGATGCATTCGGCAGGAGCTTGATTCGAGCAACATTCGAACTCGAAACATTTGAATGCAGGCAAATGTCGCAACAGTTTGTCCTTGCATGTCAGGCTTTCGGTGATCAGCGCTAGGGCTTGAGAGACATCCCGCTCTTGACGGAGGCTGGTGGAAGTCAGCGGAATGAAAGATATCAGTTGTTTCGTTGGCGGTTCCCAGCGGAAGGACGGCGGAAACAAGCGGAAGTAAAAACGACATGAATTTTGTAGAGAGGTCCATGTCGGCGTACTTTGGGTTTCCACTGTCCGGTATGCAGGAAGTCCGTTTTTTTCACAGATTTCGCCGCCTTCCCTTCCGCCGCACACCACAGCTGACTTACTGGAACGTGGGCTGGGTGACCACGGCCAGGCCTGCCCCTCGCGAGATCAAAGGTGTGGCAGGCTGCGAGTCGGACTCGGACTCTCACAGCGCGGCCCTCCATGAGACATGTGTCGCGGAGGCTTTGCGCGAGGATTTGAGATCCACCGCCAAACCTTCGCGCAAAGTCCAAGCTTGAGTCCTCTCCCTCCTCAACTTTGGCCCTGCGCACTTCCTCTGCACCTCACTTCTGGCCCTCCGAGGTTCGCCTTCGGGTGCGGCGCCGTCGCCTCACTGCTCGCCTTCGTCGTGGCGGCCTTCCAGTTTAGGAGATCAAAGAAGGAACCGGGAGAGAACCCTCCGCACACCTCCTCCGCCCCCTCGCGCGAACAATTTCGGCTGCGATAGGTCCAGGCTGCCAGAGCTCGAGGCACAGCTTCTCTGCTGCGGCCCAGAGGCTTGGCAAATTCATGTTGAAACAGTGCCCTGTTGTTTACCATATCCTGTTCCTCCTACCTCCTCCTCATCATCATCATCATCAGCATCATTATCCTCCTCCTCCTCCTCCTCCTCCTCCTCCTACTCATCCTCCTTCCCCTGCTCCTCCTCCTCATCCTCCTCATCCTCCTCCTCGGCTCCTCCTTGTGCAACTCACCCTCGATGTCCTCCTCCTACTCCTCCGTCCCCTTCCCCCCACATGCGATCTCACCCCCCCTCCGCACACCCCTCGTGCTCCTCCTTCCCCCCCTCGCCCCTCCTTCCCCATCCCCCGCCTCGCCCCTCCTTCCCCTCCCCCGCCTCCCCCTCCTTCCCCTCCTTCCCCTCCTCCTCCTCCTCCCCCTCCCCCGCCTCGCCCCTCCTGTCCCCACCCCACCCAAAAAAGAGGACGCGTGGCAGCCCGCCTGCCGCTCTCAGCACTTCGAGCTCCGCGACGCCGACCAGGACCCGCCCGCTGGGGCACGCCGCGGGCCCTCGGGCGCGCCGGGCGGCCGTTCGGCGCGGGGCGTCTTCGGGGTCTCCTCCTCCTCCTCCTCCTCCTCCCTCCTCCTCCTCCTCCTCCTCCTCCTCCTCCTCCTCCTCCTCCTCCTCCTCCTCCTCCTCCTCCTCCTCCTCCTCCTCCTCCTCCTCCTCCTCCTCCTCCTCCTCCTCCTCCTCCTCCTCCTCCTCCTCCTCCTCCTCCTCCTCCTCCTCCTCCTCCTCCTCCTCCTCCTCCTCCTCCTCCTCCTCCTCCTCCTCCTCCTCCTCCTCCCTCCCTCCCCCCTCCTCCTCCTCCTCCTCCTCCTCCTCCTCCTCCCTCCTCCTCCTCCTCCTCCTCCTCCTCCTCCTCCTCCTCCTCCTCCTCCTCCTCCTCCTCCTCCTCCTTCCTCCTCCTCCTCCTCCTCCTCCTCCTCCTCCTCCTCCTCCTCCTCCTCCTCCTCCTCCTCCTCCTCCTCCTCCTCCTCCTCCTCCTCTTCCTTCTCCCACTCCTCCTCCTCCTCCTCCTCCTCCCCCTCCTCCTCCTCCTCCCCCTCCTCCCCCTCCTCATGCCTCCTCTCCTTCGGGGTCTTCGGCTGGGGGCCGAGGCTCGCTGTCTTCGGGGGCGTCGTCCTGCTGCCCTGCCGGGCTGCTCTCGTCGTTGCCACGCGGGGCCCGCTGCTCGTCGGTTGCGCCCCTCCCTGGCGAGCAGGGGAGGGCATCCGAGAGGAGGGGGGGAGGAGGGATGCGGGGGGGGGAGGGGGAGGTGGGCGGGGAAGAGTGGAGGAGAGGATGGGGGGGGGCATGAGGCGGAGGAGCAGGAGGAGGAGGAGGAGGAGGAGGAGGAGTGGGAGGGAGGAGGAGAGCACAAGAGGGTGAGGGGAGAAGAGGAGGAGCAGGAGGGCGCTCCTCTCTGCGCCTCCCCTCCGCGGACCGGGGGGGATGGGCACGGGCGAGGGCGCTGCCGCCCGACCCTCGGGCCGCCCTCCGCCGGCCAGGACACGGCGGAGACGCGCCTGCTCGAGGCGGGAGGGCTCTCCGGCAGCAAGCTGGGCAGCGAGTCGATGAGCGAGTCGTTCGAGTCGACCGCCGCCCTCCTCCCGGCGGGCGCGTCCGACGGCGGCTCGTGGTTCTCACCGGCGACACGCAAGAGGGGTCCGTCGCCAGAGCGGCACTTGATGCGCGGCGTTCGGGGTCCGGGAGGGGGGTGCAACTGCAAGCGCGCAGGCCGCCATTGTCGCATCGCATGCGAGGAGCAGGTCGCACACCAAAGGTCACTCGCCTGCCTGTGGTCACTGTTGCGTTTTGCTGGCTCTCAGCATGTGGGAATCGAGGAGCACAAAATCGCGCAGTCCTACAAAAGTCAAAAGGTCCTCGCGGATTTCTCGTGTCGGCGCTGAATCCCCATGCTGGCGCCTCTGGCGCCGCCCCTGGCGCGCTACAGTACAGCGCCGACCCGAGAAATCAACATGGACATCCTAATGATTAGGCTAACACAGCTTCTTTTTGCTTTCTATCTCAGCATGAGGAAAGGGGTTCTTGAGGTTTTCGCCGCTTTCGGTCTTCTGGGACCCGAGGCCGTAAAAAAAAGCTTGTCCCAGGACAGCCCCTGGGTCGAGGACCCATTTCCAGCAGGACCCCTTTCCGTCATGCCAAGGTTCGCGGCCGACACGGACAAGGTGACGAGGCTGCAGGCCGTGGCGCGCGGGAACTTGGCCAGGAGCGCTTGCTTCGGCAGAGTGTGTGGGCCGCTGACCTGTCTGGATCGAAGAAGAACAAACGCCTTGAACATGAACTGTTGGCGCTCCGTGCGGATTTTTTGGGGATCTGCGCTGGACCCTCCCCCATGGCCCGCGGAGCGCGCCAGGGGCGGCGCCGGAGGCGCCGCTGGGGCGCCAAAAGTTTATGGTTATGCCGTTGCCTCTTCTTCTGCTGGAGGGAGGGAGGAGGAGAGGGTGGATGGGGCAGAGGTGCAGGCCGGGCACGGGAATCGAAGCACGACGGGGGCGCATGGTGGGGCCTTCCGCCCCTGGGCGGCCCAGGCTCTCGCGCACGCGTTGTGTGTGTGTGTCCCTCTGGCGGATCGGATGGACCTCGGCATCCCACGGCTATCCACCTACGCTGTTGCGGTGGCCATGGATCTTTGAAACAGCTGCTCCTCGACACGGACAAGGGAAGGTAGGGAGAAGCGAGGTGAGAGAGAGAGAAGAGGTGGAGGAGGAGGAGGAGGAGGACGCAGAGAGGGAGAGGAGGAGCAGGAGGAAGCTGGGATCGGGGAAACGTGAGACTCGAGTACGCTTGAGCTCGGCTTTGCCGCCGCTTCTTGACAAGCGCGTCTTGGACTGTGACGGCCTAGTTTTCGTGGGATGTTTTTGCAGCGGGAGCTCGCGTCAAATTTCAGATTGGGCTCTGTCATTTTCATGATCTTGGCATCGCTCGGACGTGTGCATTTTTCCTTCGGCGGGGACCATCGAGGAGCATCCTTGATCACTTGGCAAAAAACACGCACGAAACCCCCCCCCCAAAAAAAAACAGGGAATGGACGTCCGAGCGATGGCCAGGCCGAGTCCCCCGAACCCGAGTCTTACGTCTCCCCGATGGAGGGGCAGGGCGAGGCTCCGTCCCGGCAGCCGCTGGGCGTGCCAGAGGCGGGGGCCGCCTCCTGTCCCGGGGCGCGCCGCTGCGGCTCTCGAACCAGGGAGGCTCGAGCCAGCTTCGGGTCGGGCGGAAGGGTGGGATAGCAAAGGGGGTGTTTGAGAAACAGCTCACGTAGCTGATTTTTCCCGCGCCTCCCCGCGCCTTCTGGCGCCGGAGGCGACCATGTATTTCGAGGAATGAGACCCTCGGTGGGGCCGAAACTAGCTGCATGAAGCAAATTTCGTAACCCCCCCTTTCCCAATCCCCCCCTTTCGTCCGGCCCGACAGCTTGAGCCAGTGGCTACGGATGAGCACCAGAAGCATGTGACTGTGAGCTGGATGCATGCGCGGGCCTCGACTCGCAATGTCCAGGATCCGCACGGGGGTGTCTTCGTCGGGTGTGCAGATGTTGCTGCGAGCGTGTTGCGCGCAGATGGCTGTCAGCTTGCTGGTTGCACTCTTGAGAATGGCTGAGCACCCCGGCCGCATGTACCACGCATGTGCGCGTGCTGACCCACAGCGAGTATTGCAACAAGTTTCAATATTTCCTAGGCTTCTGATGTCTACCCTCGACAAAATTAGCATGAAAAGCGCAGTTTGCAGTTACCTTGTCGATGTGATGTCCTGGGCTTGGGTGACACTGCATTTAAGGTACGTGTTGGCGCCGCCTCTCCAATGTCGTTCATTGTGGAATTTCCGAGTCGCACCCGCCCAGACCGCGTTCCGCTCTGATGTGATATTCAAGGGGGGCACATTGAGTGGGCGAAAAAGAGCGACATTGAAAGTGCGCGTCAACCATTTACGAGGTTACTTTGTCGAAGGTTTGCCGCGCGGAACGAATTCGAAGGCGAGATGACAAGTCGTCGCTTGCGCTTGGCCCTTGGCGCGCGCGCATCTCTAGTGTAAAATGACAACAACTACGGTCCCCAGGACTCTTGCACATTCATTTGTCGCACTCCAGAGTGACTCGTCATTGCTCAAGTATTGTTTTGGGTTTTCAAACTGAAAACAGCGCTTGCACGCACAACATCTCACATCTTTCGAAGCGCTCCATGGGACATTTCAAAGAACATATGAATCTGCCTCATCGCTCATTTTTGCATATGAACCCACGCCATCCCAGAGAGCGCCCTTGTCCCCACCCTCCATCCCTGTCAAGTAACGCGATGCTTGCACCCCCGCGCAACCAGAAAAAGTGTACAATAATCCCTTGCCAATGAAAGGACGAAGTCCGCACGCGCGTCGTCGCGCGCGCGCATGTTGGAATCGTTTCCAAAACACTCGGCGTCGTAAGGATTTCCTGTTCTAGGTTCCCGAAAGTTGTCAAGTATAAAAAATGTACAAAACATTTGCGCGCGCGTTCTTGCGAATTCTTAAGGAAGCCGCGTTGTTCCAAAAGTTCGTCAATGTGACCTCGCGAGTTTCTCGCGCGCGCATGTCAAAACCATTCGTGCGCGTCAAGTAATATCATGCGGGCCACGCGCGCGCCGGCCGCGCGCGCATGCCAAAAATTTTCCAAAGCCTTCATATGCAACACATGGACATCACCATTATCATCACCATCTTCATCATCATCGTCATCGGCGTGACCAGCATCGGCGCCGTCATTGACCTGGCTGTCGTCGTCGTCACCATCGCCACCATCGTCGCTAATATCATCATCGTCCCCACGTTCGTTAACGTCACCAGGATACCGCCTCGCACTGAAGCGCCCGCGTGCCACGCGCGGCCTGCGAGACGCGCTGGGGAGTCCCCATCGGTCAGCGACACCGCGACCGCGTCGGTTGTGCCAAGCTAGCGGGGCGCTCTATGCGCGAGCATGCGTGCACTAGCGCGGCCGCAGAGACGCGCAAGCCAGCGCCAAGCAGTCATTGCAATCGCCGCCGCACGGGACGAGCGCGCGAGATGTAGGGTTGACAACTCCAGGTTTTATAACTTTAGATAATACCCGCCCCCCCCAGGATATCCGTACCCCGTTTCGCATTGCAATTTATTTTTGATTCTGCCTCAGCGTCCATCCTAAATATAAACTCGTGCAATCCCAGGCAAACTGGCATCGATTCCCCCCTCGTCATCTTCAGCGAAGAATTCCATGCGCACATTCGTTTATCGAAAAATGCTTGCGCGCTCTTGCGAATTCTTGAGAAAACCACGAGTTTGTCAGAATTCCCATAAGAATCTTACCGAACGGGTTGCGCGCGCGCGTGTCGAAATCCTCCGAACGCCCATTGCGCGCGTGTTGTCGCGAGAAAACACTCCGACAAGTGAGACGGCATGCATGCGCGCACGTCGTCGCGCGGATGCCGATGTTGTTCAACAGCTTTAGGTTACGCAAGGATTTCAAAACTGAGCCTCCCGAAGCCAAATGTTAGTTTTTATAAAGAATGGTTTCGTAACATCAGTGTTCAACAAAAAATGCACTCGCGCTCTTGCGAATTGTAAAGAAAACCATGAGTTTTTCAACAGGTCCACGGAATTCTGCTAAAGTGGCCTGTCGCGCCGCATGCCGAAATCATTCGAACGCCCTTCCGCGCGTGCTGGGGGGGGGCACGATCCGCGTCAAATAATACCATGCGGGCCACTCGCGCGTCGGCCGCGCGCACATGTCGAACTCCTTCCAAAACCTCCATCACCGACGCGAGGACGCCGTCATCGTCGTCGGGGTGATCAGCATCGGTCACCATCGTCACCAGCATGGCTACTATCATCATCGTGTCTACAGTTGTCGACGCTGCCATGATACCGCGCCCGCCCGAGTCGCCGACTCGCATTGAAGTGCCCATTGGGATGTGCCCAGCGGTCAGCGCCACCGCGGCCGCGTCGGTCGCGCCAAACTAGTTGGCCGCTGCGCGCGCACATGCGCTGGATGGCGCGGCCGCAGAGATGCACCAGCCAGCGCCAAGCATTCGTCGCAATCGCCGCCTCATGGGGTTTCCAAATAACGTTGCAGGTGGGTGGCTGGGGTGTCTGCAAAAGCGTGGAATTTGCCAATTCGTTTCTAAAATCAGTTGTACCACATTGATTGCACAAAATAGTACGCTAGAACACGCCGTTTAGGGCCCACGCTGGCGAACGCTGTTCTGCACGAACCCAAGAAGCACTTGAACAACTACGGGCCCATCCCGAGTTCCCAAACACAAACGAAAAATGGCCCGGTGCTCCTGGGGACCGCAGTCGCCGTAAGCCTACACATCCAAACGCTATTCGTGGCATTGCTGCGTATCAAGTCGTACAGGCTCCGCCGCCCTGGACGGTTCGCGTCGGCGCGAGCGGCAGCCCCAGCAGTGCCCGTTCTGGCCGTGTCCGCCTTGCGGGGGGCCGCCTAAGCCGAGGGCCGCAATGGCCCAGCCGGCGCCTTGAGTTCAGGCGGCACGCGAAGTATAGCTCAGCAGATGGGGCAAATGAATGGGGGGACTCGGGCAACGCGCAAAAAAATACAGTGAACATTCGAAACAAATTACCCACGAAAATGTGCTTCAAAACGCGTCACTCAGATATCTTGAAGTCCTGGGTTTGGTTCGTTGGCGCCGCCTTTCCCATGTCGGTCGTCGTGGAACTTCTGAGTGGCGCCCGCCCAGCCCGCGTTCAGCTCTGTTTCGACATTGAACGGGTGTAAAGGGGCGACGTTGAACTGGCGTGCCAACCACTTGCGAGGTTGATTGTGTCGAGGGTTGTAGGCGTGGACTGCGTCCCCGTCGCGAACCACCCGACAGGTGGCACTTCGAACGCCCAAACGCTCTACGCTGGTCGCGGGCTCAACAGCTCCATTGACAAACAGTGATCATTTAGCCGTCTCCTCTGAGTCATTTGGTTGTGCATAAGTGTATGGCGCATAGTGCGCGGAGCCGGCTATTTAAATGTTGTTGCAGCCCGTGGCTAGACAGAATAGCTCCACTTGTCCGAAGGTGACGTGCGCGCGCGAATACGATTCACTTCAAAGTCAATTTGCAGCAACCACAATAATATGATGAACTGTTGGCAAGGAGGTGCTGTTACCACGAATGTGTCGCACATCGCCACGTCAAAGCAGCAACTCGACCCACAGAGTTTGTGCATGACGCGAACGCTTGACCTGCTCAGTTAGCAAGGGCCACCCCACGGATGAGAATGAAACACCGTTGGGCAGTTCTTGTCCCCACGGTCCGACCGCAATGTCGGACATCTTACACCATGTGATTCCGTTGATGCCGAGAACGCACCCACACCATGTAGGCAAGAATAAACCATAGCAAGTTCCAACTGCTGTTGTTCCAAAGCGATTACTCGCAATGGCATCCTTACACAAGTGCTTGCGAAGCTTGTTCATGAGGTTGACAAGCAGGTGGCCAGAAGACTGAGCGAGAGTTCCAAGCTCTCCTGACCTTGATCGCCAGTTGTCGGATTCCTGTGCTCTGGTTTTACCGACGTCGAGGTTGGGCACTTGGAGGCTATTTTCAGCAATGCTTCTTCAGTCAGGGTACGGCTGTTATCGAAGGGGGCAGATAACTTGAACTGCTACGGCGTGGAGTTGTCCTTTTTATTTTCCTGGGACGGCGTCTTGTGATGAACGCCTGGCTTACAGCACTCTACTTTGGAAGCCACTCGCCGTGGTCAGGAGGGTGCCCAGACTGAAAGGAATCGGGCCATGACCTCCGAGACCTGCCAACCCTCCTTGCTCTTCTTCTCCTCCCTCCTCTTTCCCTCCTCTCGACTCGTGGTGGATTTGTGATGTCGGTAATTTCGGCCACAGGGGATTGAAAAGTATTGCAGTGGTGTTGAGCCGGCCAATCAGTATGGATTGACGTTATAACGGACAGAGCGGTGTGAAAGTATGCATGTTGTTATTGAATCGCTTCGCTCATTCCGCCGGCCCGTGATATGGCATCGCTGGTTTTTGTCTGTGTGTTCGTTGCCCATGTTGAGCTCTTGGGGGCGGGTGTCGTTCGGACGCGTTGCGTGGGGAGTTTTGATGGTGAAGCAATTCCCTGGGGGTCGTCTCTCGATGGGGCGAAATATAGTCGTCGTCAAGATGCTTCTTTGGGGGGCCTCTTGGGGTCTGTTGAGAGGCCGTTCGGGGGCGCCTGGGAGACATGTTTGAAGCCTTCTGGGGCTTCTTTTGGGCCTCCTGGGAGTCTCCTGGGGCCTCTTGGCGACATCTTGGGGCCTCTTGGAGGCCTCTTGGGGCCTCTTTGGGACCTCCTGGGCGCCTTCTGGGACGGAGGGCTCCATTTTTGAGTTCTCGGTATCCCTCCTGAGTCCCTCTTGGGCCCGTCTTGGGGCCTCTTGGTCCGTCTTGGGCGGCACTTGGGCCGTCTTGAGGGCTCTCTTGGGTCGTTTCGGCGCCGTCTTGGGAGCTTCGTGGGCCGTCTTGGAGCGGTCTTGGGGGCCTCTTGGGCCGTCTTGGAGCGTCCGGAAGCCGAAAAAGCCAGAACACAAAAAACATCGAAAAAACAATGAAAATCAACGATTTTGGCCTCTTGGGGCTCTCTTCGGAGGCCTCTTGGAAGGCTCTTGGGGCGTCTTGGAGGCCTCTTGGGCTGTCTTGGGGGCCTTTTGGGCCGTCTTGGGGTCATCTTCGGCGTCTTCGAGCGCTCTTTGGGCGTCTCGGGGGCCTCTTGGGCAGTCTTGGGGGCCTCTTGGGGCACTCTGAGCGCGCTCTGGGGAGCCTGAGAGGCCGCACCCAGAAGGAAAACCATCTCTGAGTAGACTTGGTCGGGCGGCGACCGGGCGTTGGTCGGGGTACTTTTCGCCGGGGGACCCCCAGGGGCCGCCCCGCGCGCGCGAACTAGAAATACTGTTAATACTGTTAACCAGTTACCGGAGATCTTAGCACGCCCTGGCCCGTTGGGCCGGCGAATTTATTCTCTCCATTTACTTTCCAGGTGGCGCCGATTACGTGTGTCAGCTTAGTTCGTATCGGTATCATTGCCAGCAGATCTGCCCCACGGCACATGTTTGTTCCTAGTCGAGGCCAGGGTTACTCTTCGTTTTCATGGCCATGGTTTTGAACCTCGATATTGCGTTTTTGGTGTCACTTGTCTCATCGATCCTCCCTCTCGCGTTGTACGCTTTCTCTGCCGTACGCTGCAAGAAACAAGGGTGTGAGGGTTCTGGCTTGCCTATTCTGGCTGCGTTCTGGAAATGAGGAGGGAGGGCTCGGTTTTGCCAAAGTATTCCGCGAATATCAGAAGTTCAGACCGATTCGTTGTCATTCGCTCAACGGCCGAAACAGAAGAGGAGGAGGAGAAGGAGAAGGGGGAGGCGCGGGATAAGCAGGAAGAGAGCAGCCCTTTGAGGAAAGAATTGGCAGTGCAGCACGAAAAGGTCACGAAGTTGCAGGCGGTTCATCGCGGAAGAGCGGTCAGGCTGAGGCCCGCCGCGAGCGAGAGCGTGTCTCTACCCCCATTTTTGGACGGACCCTGATGGCAGTGCCATACCTTGATGTTCATATATATATATATATGTATATTTGATGGGCCAGGAGAAGAAGAAGGGTGGAGGAATAGGAGGTGGATGCTTTGCTTGCGAGCCCGGTATATCCTGAGCATGGCCAGGCTTTGTTTTGGCTCGAACGCCCTCAGCTAGAACAGATCCGTAGAGTAGGGGGCACGCCTGGATTGTTGAGGGATGAGGTTCCCTGGAAGACAAATTCTGTCATCAGTTCCACCTCGTTTGTTTCCGGTTGTTGTTGGCAGGTTTGTCCTCGTCCTCCGCGTCTTCGTCGTCCTTGGTTTGAATGAAGCATAGGGGCGGCTTTACGACACGATTCGTGGGGCTTCTGGATCTGCAGACCTTGAAATGAATTCGAAATGCGCCAGCAGGTCCGGCTATTCTCTCTGATTGTATACCGTGAGGAGGCGTCTGAAACATTCTGGCCGCAAGAGCTGTGTCTCGGAGATGCGACGGCAGGGAGGGAAACAGCGATTTGGGGTTACAGTGAGAACATAGATACCGATATATGGTACCCGCAGGTGCATTTGCATCATTGGCCGACCCACCCCCAGGTGCGTTGGATTTCTGGGCAGCGCATCACTCAAGAGATGTCAAGTTGGGCGTTCAAGGAGCTTGCACAATTGCTTTGCTTTCTGACAAATGTTCCAAATATGCTTGCCCTACAGGAGTTCTCACTCAAAACCTACTAATTGGTCCGTTGCCCCCCCCCTAATTCCTATCCCCCCCTAATTCCTATGGCTATGCCTATGCCTATGCCTATGCCTATGCCTCCCCCCTATTTCCTATGCCTACGCCTATCCCCATGCCTTGTTGTGCAGGTGCGAACCGGCTTGCCAACGTGGTGGTCGTGTTCGCGAATTCGCATCGTGCCGCCTGCCCCTGACTTTGCCCCTCGCCGCCAGACCGTTGTCGCGCGGCCGCCGACAAAAGAAATGCTTATGCCTATGCCTACACAGCCGTGACAAAAGTTTCTTCAATTTGCTATGATGAAGATTCCCCCATCCCTCTCAAGATTCCTAACAAGCATGATGTTGGGTCATTCGGCGGAGTAGTTCCCGATCCCTTGGACGTTAATAATAACTCTATTATCCCAAAACGGGATCGGAAACTACTCCGCGCCAAGCCCTATAAATTACCGAGCGGGATGCGACTGCGCGCGGAGAAGATTTAGCAAAACACTCCGCACGAACGTGTCAGTCCAAAAGGCAAATTGGAAGAAACTTTCGTTACGGCGATGTATGCACCACCTCTGAGCGCTCATGCCTATGCCTACGCCTATGCCTATGCCTATGCCTACGCACCATCTCTGAGCGTTCCACCCCCTTTTGCCAATAGCACCCCACCCTTTATTTCCAACGGCACCCCCCAGCTATTTCCAATTGCGAGTCCGATGAGTCGCTTGCCTTTGCTTGCTCTTGCGTGCCCGTTATTGCTTGCTCTTGCGTGCTTGCTATCGATTGCTTGCTCTTGCTTGTCCTTGCTTGCTTGCATTTGATCGCTGGCTCTTGCTTGCTTGTTATTGCTCGCTTGCGCTTGCTTGATTGCACTTACTTGATGCTGCTCCTCCCGTCCTCCTTTCGTCCTCCTCCCATCCTCCTCTCGTCCTCATTTGTCCTCCTATCTATTTGGAGTCAACGCTGGCTGATATTCGAATGTTTTTTTTCTAGCGCTCGTGGCCCTGGACACTCGGAGGCGTTGCTTAAAAATATGTTCAGAAGCGTCCGCGATGGAAACGCCTCGCGAACAGGAGGAAGCATTCCCCAAACAGCGCTTGCACTTAGGAGTTCTTACTTGGCTTAACCATTTCGGGGCCAGGGGCGGCTTCTTGCGGGCGGTGCCGCCCGTCGCCGTCCGTCGCCGCCGCTCGTTTCGGAACCAGGGGTGGCCGTCGCCGTCCGTGCCGCCCGTCGCCGCCGCCGTCGCCGCACCGTCGCCGCCGCCGTCGCCGCTGCGCACCACGTAGCTTGCACCACATAGTAGTAGTAGTAGTAGTAGTAGTAGTAGTAGTAGTAGTAGTAGTAGTAGTAGTAGTAGTAGTAGTAGTAGTAGTAGTAGTAGTAGTAGTAGTAGTAGTAGTAGTAGTAGTAGTAGTAGTAGTAGTAGTAGTAGTAGTAGTAGTAGTAGTAGTAGTAGTAGTAGTAGTAGTAGTAGTAGTAGTAGTAGTAGTAGTAGTAGTAGTAGTAGTAGTAGTAGTAGTAGTAGTAGTAGTAGTAGTAGTAGTAGTAGTAGTAGTAGTAGTAGTAGTAGTAGTAGTAGTAGTAGTAGTAGTAGTAGTAGTAGTAGTAGTAGTAGTAGTAGTAGTAGTAGTAGTAGTAGTAGTAGTAGTAGTAGTAGTAGTAGTAGTATAGTAGTAGTCGTAGTAGGAGTAGGAGTAGGAGTAGGAGTAGGAGTAGTAGTAGTAGTAGTAGTAGTAGTAGTAGTAGTAGTAGTAGTA